GTGCAGAGTGGGCCTCGTGTCCCCCAAGGTGGTGTAGAGCGGACCTCGTGTCCCCCAAGGCTGTGGAGAGCGGGCCTCGTGTCCCCCAAGGTGGTAGAGAGCGGGCCTCATGTCCCCCAAGGCGGTGGAGAGCGGGCCTCTCCTCGGTCCCCCAAGGCGGTGGAGAGCGGGCCTCTCCTCGGTCCCCCAAGACGGTGGAGAGCGGGCCTCTCCTCGTGTCCCCCACAGCAGCGAAGAAGATACCAGAAGTTAGCTTTACAACGAGGCTTGGAGCGCAAGTGGAATGCAAATTGATCCCCGGGGCCTGGGGATCGCCCTGCAAGCCACCCGCTCCATCTGTGCTCGCCACAAAGGGATTTCCCCTTGCATTTGGCAAGTGGGCAAGCGGAAATTTCAAGCCCTGTATTACATAACACTTCATACAGTACAATCAATGTATTAACTGACAGTAATGATCCCAACCAGGTCCAAGGTCTTCGAAAGGCACTGCTAATCACATCAAATAATTGGCTGTATCTGACACCCAATGAGAAGGCCCCCAGCCACTTCTACACCGCCTCGGGGACAATGCTACAGCTACGTAGTCCCAGATACAGCCCAGTAACTACTTACCAACGTAACCTTATACAGTTACAAGAAATAGTATGTGAACCCCTTGGGATTACGTGGAGTTTTGCATGAATTGGGCATAAAATGTGCTCTGAACGTCATCTAAGTCACAACAATAGAAGAACATAGTCTGCTGAACATAATACTACACAAACATTAGATGTTTCCATGGTTTAATTGCACATAACATGTAAACATTCACAGTGCAGGGAGGAAAAAGTATGTGAACCTTTGGACTTAATAACTGGTTGACCCTCCTTTGGCAGCAATAACCTCAACCAAACGTTTCCTGTAGTTGCAGATCAGACCTGCACAACGATCTGGAGTCATTTTGGACCACTCCTCTTCACAAAACTGTTTCAGTGTAGCAATATTCTTGGGATGTCTGGTGTGAATCGCTCTCTTAAGGTCATGCCACAGCATTTCAATGGGGTTGAGGTCAGGACTCTGACTGGGCCACTCCAAAAGGCGTATTCTGTGCTGTTGCAGCCATTGTTTTGTTGAATGACTTGTATGCTTTGGGTCATTGTCCTGTTGCATCACCCATCCTCTGCGGAGCTTCAGTTGGCGGACAGATGGTCGTACGTTTTCCTGCAAAATGTCTTGATAAACTCTGGAATTCATTTTCCCATCAATGACAACAATCCGTCCAGGCCCTGAGGCAGCAAAGCAGCCCCAAACCATGATGCTCCCTCCGCCATGTTTCACAGTGGGGATGAGGTTTTGATGTTGGTGTGCTGTGCCTTTTTTCTCCACACATAGTGTTGTGTTCTTCCCAAACAACTCAATCTTGGTTTCATCTGTCCACAGTATATTCTGCCAGTAGTGCTGTGGAACATCCAGGTGCTCTTTTGCAAACTTCAAACGTGCTGCAATATTCTTTTTGGACAGCAATGGCTTCCTCCGTGGTGTCCTCCCATGTACTCCATTCTTGTTTAATGTTTTCCTTATTGTAGATGTGTCAACAAAAATGTTAGCATGTGCCAGAGATTTCTGTAGGTCTTTAGCTGACACTCTGGGATTCTTCTTTACCTCATGCAGCATTCTGCGCTGTGCTCTTGCAGTCATTTTTACAGGACGACCACGCCTAGGGAGAGTAGCAACAGTGCTAAACTTTCTCTATTTGTAGACAGTCTGTCTTACCGTGGACACATGAACATCAAGGCTTTTGGAGATACTTTTGTAACCCTTTCCAGCTTCATGCAAGTCAACAATTATTGATCGTAGGTCTTCTTAAAGCTCTTTTCTGCGAGGCATGGTTCACATCAGACAGTGCTTCTTGAAACCAGTCAACCCAAAACAGGTGTCAGCAACACATCCAATATCATCACACTGATTGGAGTCAAGGTTGGCTCACTCCTGGCTCCAATTAGCTCTGGGAGAAATCATTATGCTAGGGCCTCACATACTTTTTCCTCCCTGCACTGTGAATGTTTACATGTTATGTGCAATTAAACCATGGCAACATCTAATGTTTGTGTAGTATTATGTTCAGCAGACTGTGTTCTTCTATTGTTGTGACTTAGATGATGTTCAGAGCACATTTTATGGCCAATTCATGCAAAACTCCACGTAATCCCAAGGGGTTCACATAATTTTTCTTGCAACTGTATATATACAGTCAGGTCCATAAATATTGGGACATTGACACAATTCTAACATTTTTGGCTCTATACACCACCACAATGGATTTGAAATGAAACAAACAAGATGTGCTTTAACTGCAGACTGTCAGCTTTAATTTGAGGGTATTTACATCCAAATCAGGTGAACGGTGTAGGAATTACAACAGTTTGCATATGTGCCTCCCACTTGTTAAGGGACCAAAAGTAATGGGACAATTGGCTTCTCAGCTGTTCCATGGCCAGGTGTGTGTTTATTCCCTCATTATCCCAATTACAATGAGCAGATAAAAGGTCCAGAGTTCATTTCAAGTGTGCTATTTGCATTTGGAATCTGTTGCTGTCACCTCTCAAGATGAGATCCAAAGAGCTGTCACTATCAGTGAAGCCATCATTAGGTTGAAAAAACAAAACAAACCCATCAGAGAGATAGCAAAAACATTAGGCGTGGCCAAAACAACTGTTTGGAACATTTTTAAAAAGAAGGAACGCACCGGTGAGCTCAGCAACACCAAAAGACCCGGAAGACCACAGAAAACAACTGTGGTGGATGACCGAAGAATTCTTTCCCTGGTGAAGAAAACACCCTTCACAACAGTTGGCCAGATCAAGAACACTCTCCAGGAGGTAGGTGTATGTGTGTCAAAGTCACCAATCAAGAGAAGACTTCACCAGAGTGAATACAGAGGGTTCACCACAAGATGGAAACCATTGGTGAGCCTCAAAAACAGGAAGGCCAGATTAGAGTTTGCCAAACGACATCTAAAAAAGCCTTCACAGTTCTGGAACAACATCCTATGGACAGATGAGACCGACATCAACTTGTACCAGAGTGATGGGAAGAGAAGAGGATGGAGAAGGAAAGGAACTGCTCATGGTCCTCAGCATACCACCTCATCAGTGATCATGGTGGTGGTAGTGTCATGGCGTGGGCATGTATGGCTGCCAATGGAACTGCTTCTCTTGTATTTATTGATGATGTGACGGCTGACAGAAGCAGCCGGATGAATTGTGAAGTGTTTCGGGAATATTATCGGCTCATATTCAGCCAAATGCTTCACAACTCATTGGACGCTTCACAGTGCAGATGGACAATGACCCAAAGCAGACTGCAAAAGACAACCAAAGAGTTTTTTAAGGGAAAGAAGTGGAATGTTATGCAATGGCCAAGTCCAATCACCTGACCTGAATCCGATTGAGCATTTCACTTGTTGAAGACAAAACTTAAGGGAAAAATACCCCAAGAACAAGCAGGAACTGAAGACAGTTGCAGTAGAGGCCTGGCAGAGCATCACCAGGGATGAAACCCAGCGTCTGCTGATGTCTATGCGTTCCACACTTCAGGCTGTAATTGACTGCGAAGGATTTGCAACCAAGTATTAAAAAGTAAAAGTTTGATTTATGATTATTATTCTGTCCCATTACTTATGGTCCCTTAACAAGTGGGAGGCACATATGCAAACTGTTGTAATTCCTACACCGTTCACCTGATTTGGATGTAAATACCCTCAAATTAAAGCTGACAGTCTGCAGTTAAAGCACATCTTGTTCGTTTCATTTCAAATCCATTGTGGTGGTGTATAGAGCCAAAAATGTTAGAATTGTGTCCATGTCCCAATATTTATGGACCTGACTGTATATACAGTTGCATATATATATACATATTTATTGAAATTTATTAACCACCTCCTGTCCGGCCGTTGTATATAAACGGCCCGGACGCTGTCAGTGCAGGGACGGGTTGTCATTTATAAACGGCCTCCCCGCCCCCCTGCATGTGCGCGCTCCCTGGGAGCATGCAGCACCGCGATCCGGTGCCCGCTGTGTCCTCTGGACACAGTGGAACACTGATCTCTGTACGGGACTTCTGTGTGAGGTCCCGATCATATGATCACTGATTGGCCAATCAGTGATCACATGAATATTAGTACACAAGATGTCACTTCTGACATCATTTCTTACTACGTGTGAAGTCTGTGAATGATCACAGAGGTCACATGGTACAGGGCTATTCACAACAGCCTTGTACCATGTGACAAGCTGTGACCAATCACAGCTCACACAGTATTTCTCAATAGCTGCAAGAATGCAGCCAGAGAGAAGGAGAAATTATTTATTTTACAGCCTTTATGGGTGTAAAAGCAATCAGTGTAAAAAAAAAAAAAAAAATCTTCATCACCCCCCACAAGTAGTACAGTGTCACCATGGTAACACCTTACTGCTAGGGTGACAGTATGTAAAAAAAACCCAAACAAACAAATAATAATATAAAAAAAAATAAAAATGTAAAAAAAAAGTCTAAAAATTATAATTTTTGGTTATAAACTAATTTGGATTATTTTTTTTCTTCTTACTAAAAAGATAACGGAATAAATTTTGGCCGAGATTTATGATGAAATATTAATTATTTGCAAAATTTTATAAGAAAAACACTTTTTTTCAAAATGTTTGGACTTTTTGATTTACATAGCAAAAAAAAATAAAACTGCCAGTGGTGAATAAATACCACCAAAATAAAGCTTTATCTGTCTCAAAAAATTGCTAAAAAATTCATATGGATACAGTGTTGCATGACCGCGCAATTGTCATTCAACGTGTGATAGTGCTGAAAGCTGAAAATTGGCCTGGCCAGGACTGGAAGGGGGGGAAAGTGTCCGGACTGGAAGGGGGGAAAGTGTCCGGACCGAAGGGGGGAAAGTGTCCAGACTGGAAGGGGGGGAAAAGTGTCCGGACTGGAAGGGGGGGAAAGTGTCCGGACCGGAAGGGGGGAAAGTGTCCGGACTGGAAGGGGGGAAAGTGTCCAGACTGGAAGGGGGGGGAAAAGTGTCCGGACTGGAAGGGGGGGAAAGTGTCCGGACTGGAAGGGGGGAAAAAGTGTCCGGACTGGAAGGGGGAAAGTGTCCGGACTGGAAGGGGGGGAAAGTGTCCGGACTGGAAGGGGGGGGAAAGTGTCCGGACTGGAAGGGGGGAAAGTGTCTGGACTGGAAGGGGGGGAAAGTGTCCAGACTGGAAGGGGGGAAAGTGTCCGGACTGGAAGGGGGGGGAAAGTGTCCGGACTGGAAGGGGGGGAAAGTGTCCAGACTGGAAGGGGGGAAAGTGTCCGGACTGGAAGGGGGGGAAAAGTGTCCGACTGGAAGGGGGGGAAAAGTGTCCGGACTGGAAGGGGGGGGAAAGTGTCCGGACTGGAAGGGGGGAAAGTGTCTGGACTGGAAGGGGGGGGTGAAAGTGTCCAGACTGGGAAGGGGGGAAAGTGTCCGGACTGGAAGGGGGGGGGAAGTGTCCGGACTGGAAGGGGGGAAAGCGTCCGGACTGGAAGTGGTTAAATATGCCCAAAATTGTAGCGTTTCAAATTTATTTTTCTTCCATGTGGGAAGGTTTAAAGGCGAATCCTCTCATCCAGGGACGTTTTGACAACTCATGGGGCCCCCGGGCAATAGGAGATCATGGGGTCCCTGTGTCCTTGCCCAAACTCAAAAAAGCCTATGAAAAAGGTACCAGGGGCATCTCATGGGGCCCCCTACTGACCCCGGGCCGTCGGGCAGTGCCCGAGTTACAAATGGTCAGTCCGCCCCCCGGTCTCATCACTCTGGCCTCTACCAGGTATGACAGGACCTTTTAGAAGATATCTGCATGTAACTGTTCCAGTGACATCTAACGTTTTGGTGACCCCTCTCTCTCTCTTTTTACCCGACTGACCAATGGTCAACAAGACAAAAAGAGGAGTGAATCTTCCAAATTGGGGTTCAAAGACAGCAACAAAAACCCTTCCCTGCTCCATCCCAAAAATAGTTTTGCTTGTTTAAAAATTCATACAAAACATCGGATAGTAAACTTTTAACTCAAAAAATTTGAATAAAATTCTCCAAACTGGAAGACTTTTCCTTTAATGTTTTCTTCCTGAGTGTTTTTAGTGTTTGCTTCGATGCTCGCAGTCGCTGTTTGTTGTGTCTCCACAGATTCGGCTGTTTTATCTGACAGAACTGCACTTTCTCCAGGCATCCTGGAGGGGAAGGTAAAACCAAGAACATTCTCAGGAAAACAAAGGAATTTCAAGCGGCTTAACGAAGAACATATTTAAACGATCGCTACAATATTTTTTTTTAGCAGCCTGAAGTTTAAAAGGTTATAAAGTGTTTTCAGTCACTTTGTTGTTTTAATTCTTTATTTTACAACTAAAATTTTAGTACAGGGTTCATTCACGGCGCTCGGTTTGCAAAGCATGCTGGGACTACCTGCATACTTACGTTGGGTCTGGCAGGTTCCCCGTTGGGAAGTTGGTCCTTCTATTTAACCAATTCAATACCGGGCAATTTTACCCCTTCCTGCCCAGGCCAGTTTTCAGGTTTCAGCGCTCTCACACATTGAATGACAATTGCGCGGTCATACAACATTGTACCCAAACTAAAATTGTATCATTTTCTTCACACAACTAGAGCTTTCTTTTGGTGGTACTTAATCATCGCCGGGGTTTTTATTTTTTGCTAAATTAACAAAAAAAGACCAAAAATTTTGAAAAAAACACGCGTTTTTCTTTTTTTTCTGTTATAAAAAGTTTGCAAATAAATAATTGTTCTTTATAAATTTAGGCCGAGAATTACTTTGTTATAAGCAAGCATTTACCTGAATGACATCGATTCATTCAGGGTTTTTTTTTTTGTGCCTAGCTGTGATTTGGCCAGAGCTAATCACATGACATGTGCATGTGACCTGCTGTGACCATTCACAGCTACACACTAGTATACAATGGATGGCATGAATGAAGCCATCTATTGTATACAACTGTCATGTGACCTGCTGTGATTGGTCACAGCAGGTCACATGGTACTGGCAATGGGGCTGATACTCAGATCTGTCATCAGCCATGATTCCGAGGTACATGGCCGGTGACAGATCTCGCCGCTGCGCGGCACTGCACCGCGCAAACTGCGCATGTGCGGGAGCACGCCATATGGCATCCACCCGGAACGCTGATGACATTTGCCGGCCGCCATTCGGCCATAGGGTGGGCGGCAAATGGTTAAAGTTTATGTCTACAAGACCATTGGCTGTTTACTGAATGTACCTGAATTGCCCACCCGAGAGGTAGTGGCTTCGCAGGTGACCTGAAGAAGGGGTTTCACATGACTGTCATATGCCTTTAAGTGTTTTCTAGATTTTGTCTCTGCTCCTCCCAGGGGCGGACTGACAACTCATGGGGCCCCCGGGCAATAAGAAATCACGGGGCCCCTGTGTCCTTGTCCACACTCAAACCACACCCAAAAAAAAAAAGCCTATGAAAGGTACCAGTGGCATCTGATGGGGCCCCCTACTGACCCTGGGCCCTCGGGCCTAAATGGTCAGTCCCACCCTGGCTCCTCCCTTTCCTTTGGTTTAGTTAATGCTGTATAGATAGCCCGCCCCCTTTCCCAGTAATGCATTGCAGCTTCTAGCCTCATGTCATGAAGCAGAGCACATTATGATCTTTTGACCTATCAGATGTTCATTGTTGTAAGATTCTCTCAGTTTATGGAATAAACTTCACAAGATCTACAAGATGTCATCTCGATTGAGTCACTGCCTGTGATATCCAACTAAGATTGGAGTTATTGCTATCTCATCACAACTGTAAGTTACAGAGATCACACTTTCAATGCTTAGATTGGAGAGACAGAACAAGGGGTATACCCCAAATCCTGTAGTCCCTGGTCGTTGCATCAGGCCACTTTTATCTCCATTTGTCCTCCTCCTGTGGCTTCCAGCAATTTTTGGAACATTGTTCCAAAGTCCATTGGTTCCCTTAAGGCAGGGGTGTCCAAACTATGGCCCTCCAGCTGTTGAAGTACTACAAGTCCCATCATGTCTCTGCCTCAGGGTGTCTTGCCTGTGGATGTCAGAGTCTTGCAAGGCCTCATGGGACTTGCAGTTCCTCAACACCTGGAGGGACAGAGTTTGGACACCCCTGCCGTAAGGTGCTACTAAACCCACAACAGTACAATCAGTCTGTAGATGCAGCAAAGCATGCTGGTTATACTCACTGTGAAACCTAAGGGGTTAATCCTCCACATTGTGTAAAAAGGTTGTTTGATCCTGTCTTCTCTGATCCTCCTCTTCTTCAAATGTCCATGTCTTATCTCCTGAACCCGAAGTCATTCTGCACATGCTCAGTTTAGTGTTTATTGCTAGAGAGGTGTTTTCTTTTCTTGGGAGGGTGCATATGATCAGCACAGGACCAATCAGCACTGTCCAGACAGAGGTCAGGGGTTCTGCATCCTCCTAGAGCAGAATGAAAACTTCTCCTACAAGCTTTAACGTGTGCTCTGCCGAACACTGATAGAAGTCACAAGACTGCTCTATACTGCTGATGAGAAAAGGTATTTAGCAGTTTATATTTACTAAAATAATTGCATTTCCACTTTCTGTTTACTGTGGGAGACCAGATATAGTGAATGCAGGGTCGGGGAGAGCGAATATAGTGAATGCGGGGTCCGGGGAGAGCGAATATAGTGAATGCGGGGTCCGGGGAGAGCGGATATAGTGAATGTGAGGTCTGGGGAGAGCGGATATAGTGAATGCGGGGTCCGGGGAGAGCGGATATAGTGAATGCAGGGTCCGGGGAGACCGGATATAGTGAATGTGAGGTCCGGGGAGAGCGGATTTAGTGAATGCTGGGTCTGGGAGAGCGGATATAGTGAATGCAGGGTCCGGGGGGGAGACCGGATATAGTGAATGTGAGGTCCGGGGAGAGCGGATTTAGTGAATGCTGGGTCTGGGGAGAGCGGATATAGTGAATGCGGGGTCTGGGGAGGGGATATAGTGAATGCGGGGTCTGGGGAGGGGATATAGTGAATGCGGGGTCCGGGGAGAGCGGATATAGGGAACGCGGGGTCCGGGAGAGCAGATATAGTGAATGCGGGGTCCAGGGAGAGCGGATATAGTGAATGCAGGGTCCGGGGAGAGCAGATATAGTGAATGCGGGGTCCGGGGAGAGCGGATATAGTGAATGCAGGGTCCGGGGAGAGCAGATATAGTGAATGCGGGGTCCGGGGAGAGCGGATATAGTGAATGCAGGGTCCGGGGAGAGCAGATATAGTGAATGTGGGGTCCGGGGAGAGCGGATATAGTGAATGCGGGGTCCAGGGAGAGCGGATATAGTGAATGCAGGGTCCGGGGAGAGCAGATATAGTGAATGCGGGGTCCGGGAGAGCGGATATAGTGAATGCAGGTCCGGGGAGAGCAGATATAGTGAATGCGGGGTCCTGGGAGACCGAATATAGTGAATGCGGGGTCCGGGAGAGAGCGGATATAGTGAATGCGGGGTCTGGGAGTGGATATAATGAATGTGGGGTCCGGGGAGAGCGGATATAGTGAATGCGGGGTCCGGGGAGAGCGGATAGTGAATGCGGGGTCCGGGGAGAGCGGATAGTGAATGCGGGGTCCGGGGAGAGCAGATATAGTGAATGCGGGGTCCGGGGAGAGCAGATATAGTGAATGCGGGGTCCGTGGAGAGCAGATATAGTGAATACGGAGTCCGGGGGAGAGCGGATATAGTGAATGCGGGGGTCCGGGGAGAGCGGATATAGTGAATGCGGGGTCCGGGGAGAGCGGATATAGTGAATGCGGGGTCCGGGGAGAGCGGATATAGTGAATGCGGGGTCCGGGGAGAGAGCGGATATAGTGAATGCGGGGTCCGGGGAGAGCGGATATAGTGAATGCGGGGTCCGGGGAGAGCGGATATAGTGAATGCGGGGTCCGGGGAGAGCGGATATAGTGAATGCGGGGTTTGTGGAGAGCGGATATAGTGAATGCGGGGTCCGGGAGAGCGGATATAGTGAATGCGGGGTCCGGGGAGAGCGGATATAGTGAATGCGGGGTCCGGGAGAGAGCGGATATAGTGAATGCGGGGTCCGGGGAGAGCGGATATAGTGAATGCAGGGTCCGGGGAGAGCAGATATAGTGAATGCGGGGTCCGGGGAGAGCGGATATAGTGAATGCAGGGTCCGGGGAGAGCGGATATAGTGAATGCGGGGTCTGGGGAGGGGATATAGTGAATGTGGGGTCTGGGGGGGGGATATAGTGAATGCGGGGTCCGGGGAGAGCGGATATAGGGAACGCGGAGTCCGGGGAGAGCAGATATAGTGAATGCGGGGTCCAGGGAGAGCGGATATAGTGAATGCAGGGTCCGGGGAGAGCAGATATAGTGAATGCGGGGTCCGGGGAGAGCGGATATAGTGAATGCAGGGTCCGGGGAGAGCAGATATAGTGAATGCGGGGTCCTGGGAGACCGAATATAGTGAATGCGGGGTCCGGGGAGAGCGGATATAGTGAATGCGGGGTCTGGGAGAGTGGATATAATGAATGTGGGGTCCGGGGAGAGCGGATATAGTGAATGCGGGGTCCGGGAGAGCGGATAGTGAATGCGGGTCCGGGGAGAGCGGATAGTGAATGCGGGGTCCGGGGAGAGCAGATATAGTGAATGCGGGGTCCGGGGAGAGCAGATATAGTGAATGCGGGGTCCGTGGAGAGCAGATATAGTGAATACGGAGTCCGGGGAGAGCGGATATAGTGAATGTGGGGTCGGGGGAGAGCGGATATAGTGAATGCGGGGTCCGGGGAGAGCGGATATAGTGAATGCGGGGTCCGGGGAGAGCGGATATAGTGAATGCGGGGTCCGGGGAGAGCGGATACAGTGAATGCGGGGTCCGGGGAGAGCGGATATAGTGAATGCGGGGTCCGGGGAGAGCGGATATAGTGAATGCGGGGTCCGGGGAGAGCGGATATAGTGAATGCTGGGTTTGTGGAGAGCGGATATAGTGAATGTGGGGTCCGGGAGAGCGGATATAGTGAATGCGGGGTCCGGGGAGAGCGGATATAGTGAATGCGGGGTCCGGGGAGAGAGCGGATATAGTGAATGCGGGGTCTGGGTAGAGCGGATATAGTGAATGCGGGGTCCGGGGAGAGCGGATATAGTGAATGCGGGGTCCGGGGAGAGCGGATATAGTGAATACGGGATCCGGGGAGACCGGATATAGTGAATGCGGGGTCCGGGAGAGCGGACATAGTGAATGCGGGGTCCGGGGGGGGACAGCGGATATAGTGAATGCGGGGTCAGGGGAGAGCGGATATAGTGAATGCGGGGTCCGGGGACAGCAGATATAGTGAATGCGGGGTCCTGGGAGAGCGGATATAGTGAATGCGGGGTCAGGGGAGAGCGGATATAGTGAATGCGGGGTCCGGGGACAGCAGATATAGTGAATGCGGGGTCCGGGGAGAGCGGATATAGTGAATGCGGGGTCCGGGGAGAGCGGATATAGTGAATGCGGGGTCCAGGGAGAGCGGTATATAGTGAATGCGGGGTCCAGGGAGACCGGATATAGTGAATGCGGGGTCCGGGGAGAGCGGATATAGCGAATGCGGGGTCCGGGGAGAGGGGATATAGTGAATGTGGGGTGAGCTGCAACAAGTGATGCCACCGGCAAAGGCGCTCTGAAGGAATGGCATACCTGTACCGTTCCTTCAGATCTCTGTGCCGTGGCCACGACTCCTGTGCACATGCGTGGCTCTGATGTCATCAGTGGCTCGTCCATTCAAGCGGCCGCAGCCCGGTGGCCTGGAGGGAAGACCCGGTGAAGATGGAAGCCTCTGCAGCGGTGACAGCGTGCCTCTTGAGGGCTTCATTCCAAGGTAAGGCTTTTATAATGAGATAGCATGCAATGGTTACTACGTTACTAACGCTTTAACTCTTCCAACACCATGGCTGGGCCAAGCGCTCTCACAACGTATAATATCAAAAAGAAGTCGACCCAAAAGAATGATTTTTTTTCCTTTTAAACAACATATGCTGTTGACTAGTACAGCCTGAAAAAACTTGAAGGACGTTTAGCTGATTTTTATCACTGCAGAATGTAATTCAGCTCTGACATGCATTCTGTTAGAAACCAAACACCCACCAGCCAACGGAACTCCTGCCAGCCTGGAGCTACCAGAGACTATCTGGGCACTTTGCCTTTGTTTGTTATAAGCCGACAATGACTCACCCAGGGTCTACAATTCACATTAAATCTCCAATTACCCTTCTCTCATCTGCATTGCTGGGATCGAAAAAGCCAACATATGCCATGTGTGAAGTATGCCAGGAGTACATATTTCCAAGGTCTTCCCTGGCAACCTGTATGGGAACATAAGCTCTGTCAGTTCTTGGTTTAGCCCCGAAGTGCTTCCTCATACAACGGCTTCTCTTAAAAGCTCTCAGGCAAAAAGATAAATATACCCAAGAAATACATATAGCGGAGCTGTTTTACCTGCCGAAGGATTTGTATGTTTCTTTCTACCAGTTCTGAGATTTGCCAGGCAGGTGAC